AAAAGAAAGAAAAGAAAAGAAAATACAAAAAAAAAGTTGGCACAAATTCCAGTGAGAAAAATTGGATTCGTACTTCCATGTAGCCTTGCATCCAAGATACTTTTGAGAAGGGAGCTATTTTAAGTTAATAATCAATTTAAACATTTCTAACTGTATCACCGCACCCTTCATCCTTACCCAAAAGGTGATTCAAGAAAGACATTTTTTTCCCCAGGCTCATTCTTTGGTCCATGAAACATTCAGTAAACTGGACGTATTGTTGGGGGACATCCGGGAACACAGCACAAAACAGGAGTGAAAATGGAAGAAAACCAATTGTAAAAGAATTTAATTATTCTTGGATAACATGTTCCATGTTTGAATAATATTATTCAAGCATCAATTATTGATCATGTAAAAGGTTTACAAATACCTGTTTATGTGGTAGAAAATACAAAAAAAAAAGAAAAAAAAAAAGAAAGAAAAAAAAAGAAAAAAAAACAAGGAAAAATCATTATAGTATTTTGATCAACAAATTTCACGTTGAATTTTTGAAGGTTTGCGAGTTGTTTCTATCATTAAAATTTATTGATGAATCAGTCTGGGTTTTTTTTATTATAAGAAAAGTTACATACACTAATGGACGTTACACTAAGTAGGTTACAAGAGAGGGTCTATTGCATTTCTGTTGTCTCTTCGGCCCCCATACAAAAACTGAACTGTGATGGCCAAGCTAGATGAATCAACGTGCAAACGAAGAATATTCAGTTAAATTCGGTCCTTCATGGTTTTAGTTTCTAACTAGTAGGTTACATACAGGAGGGGGTCCCCTCCCCCTAAAACACTGAACTGTGATAACAGAGATAAAGTAAGAGTAACTAGTACAAAAAAGCACACCAATGAAATTATCGGGGGGGTGGGGGGGGGGATTGAAAAGAAAGATCTGTTTTATAGCGCTATTTAGTTGTTCTGCTATTTCACTGATATACCGTTTACACTTTAACATGCAAACAAAGAATATTTCATTGTTTTTGATAGATATGTCAGTGTTTTTCTGTTAATGTTTCTTATTAGTGTATGTAAAATGTTTATTTTTGAGGAACTTTATATGGGACTCTTGTCCCAGTGTTCTTTCTCTTAACTAGTGTTTTTTAAATTTATTTTTAAATAAGTACTAGTTGTAAAGCTAATAAATAAAATATAAATAAATAAATATGCAGTATAGTTTGCCCTTCCCAGTCTTAGTTTTTAACACAGGTTACTAGAGATCAGGATTGTTGGCTTTTTTTAAAGATTATTTATTTTTATCATAATCATTTTTACATTTTGTATTGACATAATCATAAATACATCTTGTGGGAATAAGTCCTTAAAGTGCTTATAAGCCTTTACACAATATTTTCAGAATTGATTCTGTAAATAGTTGATTGTGAAAATAATTCGTCATTTGAATGTCGGGTCTTTGAGATACGAAGGTATATCTTTCAACTTTGTTTAACAGGCCAAGTAAATTCACTCTTAGAGTGCAAACCATATATCTGTGAAAAAACTTTGCACAAATTAGTCAAAGTTCGGTAGACTTCAGTCGGACGGTAGACCTACAAAACTTTGCACTAATGTGTACAATAGTCCCCTTCACAGTTCCCTGTGCGATCTTGAAAGGTAGCCATGCCTTTGCATCGAAGCGGTCTTTCTCATTGCATGCTCACCATTCATCTTGCTTCTGTGGAAAGGCATGGCTAGCTTTCAAGATGGTGCAGGGAACTGTGAAGGGGACCATTTTGTTAGTTAACTTTCTCATGGATATATGGCACTAAATAGTACGAAAAAATGCAATGTCTATAACATTGTTTTCAGTGCTATTTAGTACAAATCATATAATGCTAATCACATAATATTATATATATATAATATATATCTATTATCATATAATTATCCATAAAATACCTATATTTATTATATAATTACCAATGAAATATCTATTTTTCTCTATTTCGAAAAATTGATATCTTCACACGTGAAAATAACACCATTGCGATGGCTATTCAAAAATACACGGAAAGAATTGCCTGAAAAATCCAAAACATACTTTCATTGATAATTATATAATAAACAGAATATTACATGGGCGCTTGGAGATATGAAATTTATCTTGTGTTGAAAATCTCTCACTCGTTCGCTGCGCTCACTTGTGAGAGATCTTTTCAACACTCGAAGATAAATTTCGTATCTCCACGCGCCCATGTAATATCCTCTATTTCTCCTTTTCAAAGACTGATATTTTCACATGTGAAAATAACGTTATTTTCACATGTGAAAATATCGTTTCCATGCGTATTTAAGCTATTAGTTTATAAATGAAAACTTTTTATGATAATAAAAAGCTTATTAAGTTGATTTTATGAATAATTATATAATAAACAGAATATTACATGGGTGCTTGGAGATACGAAATTTATCTTCTCGTGTTGAAAATCTCTCACTCGTTCGCTGTGCTTCACTTGTGAGAGATCTTTTTAACACTCGAAGATAAATTTCGTATCTCCGCGCGTATGCCCCACAAGCTTAACAAACTAGCTAGAATGTCTCAGAATTTTAAACTGTGATTGTGGAAAATTGATTATAAAATGTTTCTATTGTTTACTGCCCTTTGATAATAAAAGAAAATGGCTATATAATTCTTGTAGAATTCATTAAAACAGATATTGAGTGGTTAGTGCAACAAGTATCAATTTTACTGGGAAAACTGCTGCAACAGTGATTGGTTGGCCAAAGAGGCATTGCACCATCACGTGACGGCAGCCATGTTAGATGGCAGGAACAATACAATCGTTTTACATGAGGAAGAATTCAATTCCCAAGAGCAAAGAGATTTTATTGTTCTGCCATCTAACCACAGGCAGTCCAAGCTGTATTATGGCGTGGGCACGTGATGGTGCAAAGCTTCTATTGTCTATTGATCTCGCTCTAAGATGAACTATTTCAGTTGTAGTCATTATAAGTGTTTTCCATTGTGAGTAGTGGAATGAGATAAACAGTGAGTATGATGATATAAAGAACCATGAACGCTATCCCTAAACCAATTGCCAGGAAGGACATGGTGCGAGCTGAACGGGAAGCAGCTTCGGCTGTGAGGTAATCACCCCTTGCTGAGGCAGTTCGTACCTATGAGTAAAATTATGTTATAAACTATTAATTACATGTTATTAATTATTAAGTAACAGTTTTAAAAAATTACTTTATATCTACATTGCAACGTGTACATCACTGACTTGCAATCACACTGAAGATGACTCAATAGTCTCCTTCACGGTTCCCTGCGCCATCTTGAAAGGTAGCCGTGCCTATGCATTGAAGCGAGAGGAACAGTGAGCTTGCAATGATAGAGACCTGTGAATAATTGTCCAAGGTGTTAAAAAAGGTCTCTATCATTGCAAGCTCACCGTTCATCTCGCTTCAATGCAAAGGCACGGCTACCTTTCAAGATGGCACAGGGAACTGTGAAAGGGACTATTCTACCCTAATTAACTATTTCAAAAAAACTAATATTACTCCAAAAGTTTAAGTTAAATAACAGAATGGCACACAGGTAGCCCAAGCACAGAAGTAGTGGGTTGCGACATCATCTAGTCTTAAGATTTCACAACAAGATTTCATGAGGTATTAAAATATAACTTTCAAAAAGTATTACATTCTCTACTTTGACATCCCCATAATACTTTGCGTCTTTGGGGGGTGACCAGAGGGTAAAAACCCACTTATTTTGCTGAAGGCTGATCAGACAATGTTGAAAATACCTTGTTTGGTATCTAAAAATAAAATGAAGAAGTAAAAGACAGAAAAAGATAGAAGCTTGAAGAGGTTTAAGGTAATTTCAAGTCAATACATTTTCTGTAAGACCAAAACTCTTGATGATCTGTACACGCAAAAATAACTTGGAATAAACTGATAATCAGTATTGTACAGATAAAAGCAGGTATAGTATAAATTCAATTAAGAAACCTTTCAATTTGGGACAGTTTTTTGATTGGTTACCCCCAAAGACGCAAGGCATTATGGGGAATGTGAAAGTAGAGTAAAACTTGTTAAAACAGATAATGATACAGCCTGCTAACCCGTCACTTGGGCTACCTGTGGACAGCTATAACAACACACCTCATTTGATCTGATGATGGCAACAAGGCCAAGAGGCCAACAGCAACATAGACAAGCAAACCAAGCCAGTGCCTGATAGTCAGGGGGAGGTACTCCAACAGGCCTCGCTACGACCATATTTGGTTGCTATGGAAACAAGAGCATTCAATTCTTAAATCAAAGACTCGCACACCTGGGGTCTACCATGAAATTACTGGACCTGGAATTATGAGAGTAGATTTCTCTGGTTTTCCTCCCTCTACATATCCAAACACAGTAAATTTCTATTTGTGGAGCTACTCTGTAGATATGTCATCATTAAACTGTTATCATCATCATTATCTTTATTATTATTTTTAATTTTTTTATTTTCTTAATTGAAAAAAAAATTGATATTATTATTATTATTATCATTATCATTATTGTTATTATGTACGTACCTGTACAATTACACTTGTCGTAGTCTGTCCTTGGTAACTCTGGGGGTAACCTTGTTGGACTGGATAAGGTTGGGTCCCTGGGTACGGCTGGGTCCCTGGGTACGGCTGGGTCCCTGGGTACTGCTGAGGGCCTGGGTATGCTGGAGGAGGTCCCCCAGTAGCATAGTACCCATCAGGCAAGTTGGAGGGGCACTGGTTTCCAGGATATGCTGGGGGTCCTGCACTCGTATCTGTTGTGCTAGTTGGAGGGCCATTACCTGTGAATGAATGAATCAGTAAGTGAAAAATGAGATAATGGAAAAATGAATAATTAGAAAATTAAATATGATAGGGTAGTCATTCAGATTTAAGTTCAGTAAAGCTAAATAAAATAAACTAATAATAATAGTAATAATAATAATAATAATCTATAGTGCTATATACATTTTAACTCTATAGCGCTTAACAACTACGGAGAAAAAATAATAATAATAAATATACAAATAAGATTTCAATAAAAAAACAACTGAGAAATACTAACGAATACTGAATAAATGAATGAATGAATGAATGAATGTGAA